TATAAGCAATACGTAACATGAGACGCTGCGTTTTTCCAGCCTCAAATAAATTGTGAACCTTGTCGAAAGCAGTGATCAAAATATTCTCAGCAGCATTGTCATACAAGAGGCCCGTTGAGGAATGATGGGATCCCACCCTCGTAATTGGACACATAGTTATTGACAAAGTATTCAGTTGTAGCAGTGCTAACCAGTTTCTGAACGACTAAACATATATCGGAAGGCAGCAGGTCTTTCTTATCGCTTATGCGTAATTGTTTAGGCTTCATCGACTCGGTGACGCATCGTTGCTCGCTTGATTGGATGTTTTCGTTTGTGTTTTGAGACGTGTCGCCGGCCATCTGGTTGGAGAGATTATGTGTCGAATGAGGGGAGTGACTCGTCCCTGGCGAATACATCCTCAAAAGTCTGTAATGCATTGTCGCCGTAGAGCCCTGAAAGATCAGCAGCATCAGTAAGGAGATCTGATGGTACAGTCAAACCTCGCCAAGACGATCCTCTTTTAGCCGATAACCTCTTTTGTGCGATATTTTTCCACGGACCGATACTTTTACCATACAAAATACGATTCAACGATCATCATCTTTTCCAACCTGTTCATCGTCTTAACGTGGCCATTAGACACCCAAAATGCCTCGAAAAAGGCCGATTACAGTCGACCAGCGGCGTGCCCTTCGACACTGGGGCCACCAACAAGTTCCAAAGCCAACTCAGCGGCAGTGTATCGAATGGTTTGAAAGACAATATCATCACAAGTTAAGCCAGTCGACTATTTCTGAATCACTAAGTAGCAACTTTGAGGCCCTTGATAAGAACCAAGACACTGGAATTCAATGCCGTCGATTAGGCCAGTGGCCAAAGCTAGAGAATATCCTTTGGGAGTGGCAGAATCGGATTGAAGAAAAAGGAGGGTTTACAACTGGCGATATACTACAGCAGAAGGCACAGCAGATCTGGACACGACTGCCAGAATATGCTGGCCAAGAGTGCCCATCGTTTTCTACTGGCTGGCTCGAAAAATTCAAAAAGCGGCATCATATACAATCACGACAGCGGTTTGGAGAGGCGGCATCAGTTCCGGAAAACGTCGAGGAAGAAATGAGGGCACTACGGACAATAGCAGGGGAGTTTCAAGAAGAGGATATATACAATATGGACGAAACTGGACTCTTCTGGAAGATGATGCCATCACGAGGCCTGTCATCACAACTCCAATCTGGTGTGAAGAAGAATAAGACTCGGATCTCCCTGGTTTTCTGCGTAAACGCTACTGGAACAGACCGACTCCCTGTTTGGGCAATTGGCCATGCAAAAGCACCTCGAGCACTACAACGAATCAATATACCAACAATGGGGGCACAATGGAAAGCGAATAAGAAGGCTTGGATGACTGGAATACTTATGAGCGAATGGTGTAAGGATGCCTCCTTACTCGGGGTAGTTACGGCCGTCACGTGGCGTCATCGAGACTCGGGGCCGTTACGGGTCAGTCGCGACTGACAGCCTTAGGCACATAACGTAAGGAAGCCTTAGGCAAACAGGGAGCTAGCTGAGTCGGAGCGGTTTTGGGTATTTTAAGGGAACAGTCATACAGGGTTACACCTTCATCTTTTTTGTATCCTTCGTAGTAGACCTATAGGATTGCACCGACTCATATCCGACTCGCACTCCCATATGCCACTTCTCGTGATACGGTGCCCTGCGTCCTTACATTATACAAAAAAGATGAAGGTGTAACCCTGTATGACTGTTCCCTTAAAATACCCAAAACCGCTCCGACTCAGCTAGCTCCCTGTTTGCCTAAGGCTTCCTTACGTTATGTGCCTAAGGCTGTCAGTCGCGACTGACCCGTAACGGCCCCGAGTCTCGATGACGCCACGTGACGGTCGTAACTACCCCGAGTAAGGAGGCATCCTTACAAATGGCTTCAAGCCTTTTATCAGCATATTGGAACTACTCAGCAAATACTCTTAACAATGGACGGCTTTTCAGCACACTATACAGGGGCTGAGCTTAACCCTCCTCCCCCTAATATCCGCATTTGTTGGCTTCCAGCTAACAGTACCAGTCGTTTCCAGCCTCTTGATCAAGGAATTATTCAAAATGTTAAAGCTTATTATCGACAACATTGGCTTCGGTTTATAATCGACACTATCGATTCAAATCAAGATCCACAGAAACTTATGAATCTTCGACTCGCTCTTCGCTGGATTATTCGTGCTTGGAATACAGAAGTTTCAAACACTATGATATACAACTGCTTCCGGAAATCTACACTTGTTTCAAATCCAATTAGCCTTCCAACAATAACGATGCCTACTGGAATACAAGAACTCTACAACCAAGCAATAACTACAGCATCAATTACAGACTCAATGGCTATTTCAAACTTTCTAAACCCTGTGGAAGAGGCTAGAGCGGTGGAAGGACAGAGTACCGATGAAGAACTACTTGAGGAGATAATAGAGGGGCAACTTGGGCATCAGAACTCTCAAAATGATGACGAAGAGGAGGAGCAGCCTGAGCAGCCTGCGCCTACGGCAAAGGAGGCCCAGGATGCCCTCCAGATACTGATTGAGTATTCTGAAGGCCAGGATGCTCTTACTACGGGGCATATACGGGCACTAGAGCAGCTGCAAACAGCCATTGAGGCTATTCGAGCACAGTCACAGCAGCAGGTTACGTTAGATAGGTGGCTTACATAATATTACTCTATATAACGATATATACGATAAGACGATGGAAATGCTTGCTACGGATGCCATCGTCTTAACAAGGGTTTGACTGTATATCTGGAATGTCGACACCCGCCGTGTGGTCTGTGCCCGGGATTGCGTCATCCCGTCCTCTTACGCTCCAGTAACCCAGACGCCTCTCACGCCCGCCGCTCTTACGGCCAATCACGGCCTCGAGATCGCCGCTCCCGAGATCGCGATTGTCATGGAGTTATCGGTCTGGATGGATAGAGCTCTTATATTTATAGCTGTCATTTAAACGAGCTACTATATAGTAAAAGCTACTATATAGTAAAAAGCTAGTATATAGTAGAAACTATATATAGTAAAGCTACTATATAGTAAAAGCTACATTATAGTAGCTATATACATGTTGGCGATTCTGCATGAGGTAATCGGGGGGTCTGCGACAGGGAAAGCGCCGCCAAGCCTACGTGGCCGCTCTAGCGCCCTCGCTGCTTGAACGTATCGTCCCCGCCGACGCTAGCGTTACCCCAAATATAAATCCAACGTTGTTTCCACCTCAACTCACCTCAACACCATACGTCCAAGCCTACGTGGCCGCTCTAGCGCCCTCGCTGCTTGAACGTATCGTCCCCGCCGACGCTAGCGTTACCCCAAATATAAATCCAACGTTGTTTCCACCTCAACTCACCTCAACACCTCTCGATCAACCGCCCCCATTTCTCGCCCATCGAGCAGAGCGCAAGCCTCGCGGCCTACGGCCTTATCTCGCTCGTTCTTTGCAGGTCTGATCTCCGAGACCCGCAATTCACGAAGCATCCATCCAGCTGACCTTGTGCAGGTCAATAGCTCCTCAGTCGCGTCTCGTATCCAGACAACTAGGCCCTGCACCGCGCGAGAGAACCCAAGCTACCCCTTGCTCTGCCTTGCGAGTAGCCTTGATTCAGACGACGTCGAAGGCGAGACCGCAAGGACCGCTGTGGTCCTCTCCTGTTGGCGAATGTCGATTGACCTACGCTCTAATGAGCATGACGACACAGTTCAGCCTCGGCCATGTCCCGATTATTCCGCTTTAGCCGTGCCTCACGCTGCGTTGATACCATTGGCCTCCTATTCCTTTCGCTTCCAAATGGTTCCAAGGTATCTTAAATGCGGGCAAACTAGTCCAACTGGGGCTTCTCCCGACCTGCATTGAATCGGGTAGGTGCCCATGCGGATACTTGTTCAACTGGGGCTTTGCCCGGCCTGCCTGGAGTCGGGCAGAGCTCGTGCGGATACTAGTCCAACTGGAGCTTCTTCCGACGATGCTCTTGCGAATACTACTCTAACTGGGGCTTCATCCGACCTTCCTCAAGCTAAGCAGTACCAGCTGACGTGCGAATGAACCAAATGAGGCAGGTGGAACACCATTCCAAGTTGGATAATGTGGAAAAGAGCATGGATCTTACGCAGCTTGACAAAGTCATTCAGGTCGAGTCTAGTCCAGGGATATGACCGGCTGTGGCGAGCGATGATCCATTTTTTCTGGTACCTCTTTACTACGCTCATTGATTGAAGGCCGCGCAACGCACAGCCCCATTTTAGGGTCCCTAACGAATGAGAACTGTTAGAAATTCTCTACGAGGCAGGAGATGACGGCATTTCATTTTGGATTGCCTAGTGTCGAAATTGAAAGGCTGATTATTGGAGCGGAGGAATGAGAACACCTACTATTCACATGGATGTTGATAACCTAGTCCAGCTGATGCTGCCGTTTCCGACCATATTCAGCTCCTATTCGAAGAATTACCTAATCCTTTGCGCCGACGATGATGGTTGTACTATTTTCGGATCAGGGGACACGATAATTCATGGTGTTGCATATAGTGAAACAGCAAGGCGCCTTTACGGGGGCTTCGGGATGCCGAGGCTGAGAGGAGAGTTGGGCAATAAGTCTGTAAGAAGCCCCCAACCAATGCCACCCATTCCACTGTGCCGTTTTTCTTTCTACAGTGGGATTATCGCTGGAAATTTTCGTCTAAGATGGCTACTTTATCCGTTATCCCCTGGCTATATGCATACCATTAGCAAGATGTTTGCAAGACTGTGGAGTTGCATATCTACCTTGATTGCCGCTGAGGCGATCATGTACCGCTGAATCAGACAAGCTAGGAGAAACATCCAAAGCTGGCCCATCAACTTGATTCTTATTTTCCGAATTGTGAAAATTTGGGGTAGTTTGTCGGATCTCTGAGGCAGGAAGAAAGTCCTCCTTACATTGAAGTCGACTTTTGGCACCATCCTCCTTTCGTCGAATCTTGTGAGGCTTGTATGTATATACAAGCCTCACAAGATTCGACGATTGATCTCGAGAACGAAGTCAACAACTCCGGCAATTTCATATCGGAAACAACGCACGTTGGTGCAGCTGAGCATGGCATTGACGAGAGGAGTCCAGTTGCTCCAGAATCTAGAGATTACGATAATGGGACGGATCAAGAGCCAGCTAGTAAGGAGGTACCAACACTTAATTCTGTTGGCTCTCCCATATTCTCTCCACCTGGCTTCGAAGTGACGTCTGCCAGGAGCCCGCCCAGTCGGGATGGCGGGGATTCTACTGTCGCTGGGGACCCAGAGATATCATATGGCTTCAGAGATTAAGAAGATCAACAGGAAAATGAAAGCGTACCTGAGTGCTGTACTATAATCGTCGAGCGCGACGAGGCTCATGGGGGCATGCAACCCCGTAACTTTATACGAGGCGACACTGTTATGAGGAAAGCGAGTCTTACAGTTACGCGAGACAGCACAAGAAATACGGAGGGTTTCCGATATTCCAAACGGAAGAGAGCTTCTATAGTTGACAAGACTGCTCATCAGAGTCAGTCAAAGCGACAACGCCTATCGCCACAGAAAATGACAGTAGCAGCGAGGATGATGACGAGGATGACGCTGACTACGAACTCAATGAAACCCGCAAAACGGCTACGTCTCATCACCTTCCTCGGCATGCGATTCAGAAGAACGGCCAGTTCAAAGCGTCTGTAGTGACGAGATTATCAATCCAGAAATGCTCATTCCAGTATATATCCCCCAAAAGTATCTTCGGTACCTCGCCCTTCAGCAAAGCATGCATTCTGCAAAAGCCAGAGTCAAATCACGCAACTTGGAGCGAAAACCTGAATCAGTCAAAGCCACAGGGACAAGATATACCGAAGACGACGACAGGCAACTGCTCGAATTAAAGGAGGAACGGGGGATGTCGTGGCAGGAAATACAGAGGGGGTATTTCCCACAGAGAGAGATCAACTCCCTACAGGTATAGTATTGCACGAAAGTAAACTGAAAGCGGAAGAAGAATCATGTATTGCACGCATAGATAAACTGTTCGGAGCCAGCACAATGCATGTCTCTAATTCCAAAACAATTTCCTGTAGTGTCTCCTTGAGAGCATTCGCGCCAGAGTATGACAAATGGGCGCAGCCTCATTGCTATCGCAAATGTCTCATGTTAAGTCTCGGTCTCCTCTGTATAGTGGTATGCTCAACGTTGCCCATCGTTATCGATTGCGGCCGTCTCGATAACAGCTGGAACTAACCCAGCTCGTTCCGCGTAGCTTTGCTCGTTACAGATGACATCTGAAGAGCAAGTTTATTATCCCAATGGGTGTCCTGTAATTTGTTCGGAGTTTGTCGAATACAACTCGAAGGAAGCCCATTCCTTCGAGTGTCCGCGTTGGTCGTGGATAGGATTGGATTTGGGTAAAGATCTTGCGCCATCAAAAGGATGACGCGGTTACCAAAATGACGAGATCGTGAGCGACGTAAACGTCTTCGAACACCACATTGTTTAATCCCACTGGCTGTCGTGAATTTCATCAAGATTCCATATGATGTCCACGCCCATCAATTCGAGCTCTTCTTTCGCTGGTCTATGCCTGTCATATGGCGGTCGTCGCGGATCATACCCCACCGGTCTCTGTCCTGCGAGTGCGGCTTGCCGTAACTCGTTAATATAGACTTCTTGATGAAGAGTATCAGGATGCTTCATGCCGCTAAATTCTAGATCCATGAGGTGACCAGTACACTTCGGGGAATTATTTGGTGGGTACAGCTCCATAGCGTTCAAAACCTTGAAGTGTGTCGCAGACAATGAACTGTTCAATGTTTTGCAGCGTCGCTTTTCAGGTCGCTTTTCAGAGTCACTGTCGTCACCCAAAGCTGGTAGGGTGGAGTCGAACGACGGTTCCTCACTTTCGGTATGGTCATTCAAATCTGCAGCTACCCGAGATCGCTTTGTTGGGCTGTTGCTGCGGGAAGCCGTTGCCTTCCGTCCAAGCAACAGCGGATTTGTTACCTCCTCTACAACTCGCTCGCCATCTGCATTCGATCTAACGACTAAGCGGCTCGTCGACGGTCGACTCAGAAACCCTGCTAGGGAAGGAAATATAGACCACGCAAACCTCGCAAATAGGAACTCCAAACTACATTGAGGGATGTCAACACGGGTATTGTGGTATAACTGTCCGATGTCCGGCGTTGGTTCCAGCATATGTAAGACAAATCCTTCAGAGCTCTTCGGGAAGAAGACGAATTTGCGCTGATCGAATGCTGTATGTATATCGGACCGCAGTAGCACTGCATTGCTGAGATCTCGCAAAAGATTGTCAGAATCTAGCGTGAGGTCGGTATTCCACACGGCCATAGAATTTGAGAAGAACCATTTTCTCTCGTGTTCGGGAATCAAGTGCGCAACTTCTGTGCCGCTCTCAAATGCGGTGACGCGGCATGTAACATCTCGTTGATGTATAGCCGCTGTCAAATTGGACTGAGGTGCAGTACTCGACACAGCACCTTGTATACTCGTGCAACGTGTCCAGATCTCAGGCAGTCGCCCAAAACTCCAGTCCTGGAAGTTCGTAACAACATGATATCGATATGGCGGTCGAGATTGCCCAGTGAGAGGTGACGGAGAATCTGAGTAGTACACGCCGAAGTTAGTTCCTTCTCAATAAGACTCTTGTGGTAATGTATAGAACCTACCAGGAGGATAAGGGACATAGAAGTAATAGTCTACAACAGCGGCAGGCAAGACTTCATCCCAGCCAGCCTGGACTCGCTCGCCATGCTCGCCATCGCACGTCGTGCTCAAATAACCATCGGTGCGGTTGTCGGCGAATATTGAACAAGCGCTGTGTGCGAAGCCATGATGAATCCCACCATCAGCATGATCCCAGGCATACAACGTAAAGAGTGGGCTATCATCAGGCCCATAGGCGGGATGGCGGAAGTTGATTCGATATTTTCGCCGTGGAGCTGGCGCTTTGAGGAATTCGTAACACTCAGGTGCTGGGCCTAAGTTGACTGTCGCAGGCTCTCGTATATGTATACTTGGTAGGGATTGTAACGTAGCAGGCATGGTTTCTATAAGATATGAATCGATGTTGGATCGATGGATGCCTTGTTGATGACGGGCAACATGCAGCCATCTGTTGTTGTTTACGGGCGCAACCGATTACGTAATACGGGCCCATAGCCAGGCTGACACATGACTCGGCATGCGGGGAAACCATGACCCCGACACCATGGGACATATTTCGCGTTCGTATTTTACATCACTTGAATTCTACATATCAAACCAGCCTTCATAAGTACATAATATAGAGTAGAACTTCGGTCCGAATCTACACTGACCGCACTTGTGCGCTGGTCTTCGTGAATTGGCAATAGGTATATCTCACCTTGATATCTTTGAAGATCACATTCTCAAACGACCATTCAGAGATTGTTGAGTAATAAATGTATGTATTCCTGACTATGTAACCTATACGGAGGTGTTGTTCATAAGTTTTGTGAGTGGGTCATGAGATGACCGGGGGTTGGGCATGGGTTGGAGCATGGGTACGCGTAGGCTTGTTTGTACCTTTTTAACGCGTCAAAATTCCTACTATTGTATTTTATATGTAGGAAATTCATACTCTTTCAATAACTACAATGCCTCATCTTACTCGCGATGAGCGGCTTCGTTGCGCACTACTACGCTCCCTAGATTGGGAGTTCCAAAAAATTGCAGCCTATATTGGCTGCACGGAACGGCAGGCTTGGTATGCTTGCCAGGGCCCTCCAAACTCCGAAGAAGCGTTCGGGTAGGCCACTTATCCTATCCGATGAGCAAGAGGTTATTGAGTTTATAGCCTCATCTCGCACGAATAGGCGTATGCCATATACAAATATAATACGCATTCTTAATATTCCATGCTCACGGCTTGTCCTAACCCGCGCTCTGTCTGTGAGAGGCTATAATCGACGTAAGTATCCCTCTCTACTTTACTACTATATAGACTAATAATTATTAAGGGATTGCTATGCGGAAGCCTATTATCTCAGAAACAAATCGACAAAAGCGACTTTCATGGGCTATTGAACATAAGGATTGGGTACGGAATGATTGGAATAGGATACTTTGGACTGACGAGACGTGGGTAACGGGAGGCCGCCATACTCGTACATGGGTTACTCGAAAAGCAGGGGAAATGTGGGATGATACATGTGTTGTAGATAGAGTACAACGGAGAAGGTAAGAGACTCCTATTTACTATAGGATTTACTAACAATCCCTAGAGGTTGGATGTTCTGGGGCTGCTTCTCAGGTGGTCTTGGAAAGGGTCCTATACTATTTTGGGAGAAGGAATATGGGAAAATAGGAGCTGAGTCCTATATGGCTCATACTGTCCCTCTAATCCACGGCTGGCTACGCCTATACCCAGCCTTACATTGATGCAAGATGGAGCTCCAGGTCATAGAGCAGGTGCAACATATGAAGAGTTGAGATCCCGTGGTATTTGCCCTATAGAATGGCCCCCGTATTCACCAGATCTCAACCCAATTGAACGGGTGTGGCATATTATGAAGAATTATCTACAAGATAATCATCCAGAACATATGTCCTACGACCAGCTCCGTGTAGCTGTTAAGGAAGCATGGGAGCAAGTTGGAGAAGCTGAGCTTAATGCTCTCCTTAATAGTATGCCTACACGTATGGCAGCAGTAATTGCTGCAAATGGTATGCACACAGAGTACTAGGCTTATAGTATAGTTTTATATAGGGGTTTAGGTATCTACTCTACTCATTATTCTACAGAATTGATTGCTCTCACACTCAAGTGTTCGTGACACATGAGAATTGGTACTTTGGCCAGAATTGCCAAACCAGCCTACGCAGGGGGCCCTAGCCCAACCCACTCACAAAACTTATGAACAACACCTCCGTACTTGGCTTTACCAATAATCTGTACAGAGATCACGTGAGATCACGTGACTATTACAACACACCCCACCACGTATCCCCGTACGAGCCTCAAATTGTAGTGTGAGAAACTTGGGAAAAAAGGTGTCAAGTACGCCCGATGATTCACATCTACGCCCGGTGACTCATTTCCGATCGAAAAACAAGTTGGCCACTTCAGTTCGGATCTTCCATCTTTCTTCCATATTGGTCATCTATACCTTGGACTGCCTGGCTGCCTTCTGCCTTCTGCCCCTGCCTGCCCTGCATCTCCTATCCTACGACTCCCCACACCCCACCATACTTCTCTCTTCTCATCGGCAAGTCCGTACGAGACAAGATGCCTGCTGTTGGACAGGTCTTTGTGGAAGACCTAAGCGAGGTCTTTGTGGATGCCAACATCCACATTTACCTTCCTCCTGCTGCCCGGGAGTCCCTGCCCCGTCCTCTGCCTATGTTGGCACCTCGGGTGTACACGACTGCCCCGTACAGGACTCCTGGAAATGTTCGCCTTGAACACCCGCAAGAAATTGCAGGGTTCTACATCCAGGCAGCGGGAGAGAATGTCGCTCGGGTCTCCCAGGTGAGATCCATGGGTTGTGAGCAGTGTGATGCTGCGTACGGAGAAGAGGGATCTCGGCAGATTCCCTTCCTTACAGTATGCATATCCTTTGGGAATGTGCAGGGTGGTGCCTGTGCTTCCTGTGTCATGAAAACATCAGGCCGCAGCCTGCTCTCTTCGTGAGTACTTCCCTTCCCTGTTGACTTATGTACCTTTTAGTGTTCTTATGAGTCCGTATGAGCTAACGCTTATAGATTCCTCCCAAGATGATCGGGAGCCCACCCCTCCTCCGAAGGATGATACTCCTCGTCCTGGAGAACGTGCTGGGACTCGGGCCCATGTGCGGAAGTTGGCACTTGAGGCTGCGCAAAGAAATGGTGGTAGGAATGCTGTTTAAGTAGGGATTTGGATGTACGGACTTGTGGTTCTTGGGTTTTTCTTGTTTTGCGGTGGCTTTCTTGTATAGATTGACAGAAATGGCAATGGATTTCTTGGTGATTCTTGTGCCATTCTTGTGACAGCTCTGTACGTAAGTGTAAATGTATAAAAAGTCAGGGATTCTCCTGTTTTTATATGGTAAAAGTCGGGGATTTCCCTTGTTACCCTTGATTTCCCCCCTCTTGTTGAAATGGGTAAAAAAATATGAAATCCGCATGCATAGTGTTGTATCTAGCTCGTACGGATCTATGAAACTGCCGAAAAAGAGTGTATGTTTGTTAGGTCCCAAGGTATTCCATTGGGAAAGTTGAAATAAGAGCGCATAGTGAAACTGGGTGTAACTGTAGGCAGCTTGGTGATTCTGAGAGTTCTATGTTCGTATGGAGCTCATCAGTCTCCTGTTCTTGTACTGCCTCGCATTTTAGTTGGTGAAGTAGAAATCTAGATCTTGTGATCTAGGGGGCTCGTTTCCGAGGTACAAAGGTAGCCACTGCTTCGTACGGAGTTGTGCTCTTAAGTAAGCACTCCTATATGAGGTGCTTTATGTCCACAAGGTTTAAATGGTTAATAAACTCCTCGTGTCTTTGGCATGGTAGGGCTTTTGTAAACTCGTCTGCTGGCATCTCGTACGTAGCTATCCACTTGATATCGAGATTGTGTCTCTCTACCTCCTGTCTTAGCCAGTGGGAGTGAATATCAATATGCTTGAGTTTTGTAACTAGCTTCGGGGACTCTTTGAGTAAGAGCTGTACGGTCTGCACATTGTCACATTGTAGGGTGAACTTCTCATTAAGATCAAGTTTGATAGTTGAGAAAAATCGCTGCCACCAATAGAGCTGTTTTGCACTATGTGATAGAGCTAGAAGCTCAGCTTCTGTAGTTGAGGTTGATATGGTTTTCTGCTTCGTACAGCGCCAGTCAATTGCTCCTCCAAAGAGTGTGAAGAGATACCCTTCTGTATTCTTTCTTGTAGCTTTGCAATCTGCGTACGAAGCATCACTAGAGCATTGGAAGCGTGGTGTATTGATCTTTGGTCCGTACTGGAGGGCTAGATGTTTTGTCTCCTTTAGATAGAGTCTAAGTCGATCGACTGCTGCCATGTGGTCTGGTCCTGGGTTAACAAGGTATTCAGATAGTTTCTGCACCATACGGGATATATCTGGTCTTGTAACCACTGCAGTGTAGTTGGTAGATCCTACTTTCTGTTGATATAGGTGTATTTGCTGTTTGTCTGCTTGCCCATCGTATGGAGTGAGATTGTCATTGACCATTGGAACCTTAACTATTTTCGACAATGGCGTTACTCCGTACGTAGTCGTTATTTTGTCGATGTATGAGTCCTGGCATAGCCAGAGTGGTCTCTCTGTCCGGTCTCTTATAATTCTTATTCCTAAGAACCATTCAAGTTCTCCTATTTCACAGAATTCATAGGCTTCCATAAGTTTCGTACGGAACTCTGTTGCTTCTGCCTTATGGTAGGGATGGCTTAGAATGCAGAGATCGTCTACATAGAAGAACACAATGATTGTAGATGAGACGAATAGACACTGGGCTTCTGGGACCTGTACAAGGCCTAGCTTCTTCAGTGTGTCTGAAAAGTCACGGAACCATAGGAGTGCTGACCATCAGAGTCCATATAAGGCCCTGTTGAGTTTCCAGCATTGTCCTTGCTCCTCATAACCGTCAGCACATCGTAAGTAGACCTCCTCATCAATGCGGCTGTTTGTAAAGGCATTTATTGCATCTAATTACTCTGATACAAATCGAAGTAGGCTGTAATAGCCATGAGGGCTCGGAAGGTCTTTGAAGCAAGTGTTGCTGCGTACATCTCGTCGTGTATTGAATAACATTGTAGGTCCCCTCTTACTACAAGTCTAGCCTTGTATTTGACAAGGTAGGCATTATCATCGAATTTGTATGTGAATACCCACATTAGTGGAATGACAAAGAACCGTACAGTGCTATCTGGCATCGATTTGAAGGTGTCTTGCTTCCGAAGGTCTGTTATTTCCTTTTCCACCGCAGCTTTAAAACCAAGCCTATGAAGGTGGTTTTGGAGCTGGTTCCAATACTTTGGAGCAGCAGGGAGCTCTGTACGGTGTATCTTGCTTCTCTGGAACTCTGTACCAACAATAAATGCTTGGTGTTGGCTTATCTTTGCTTCTGGTTGAGCAATCATTGTAAGGTAGACATTGTGTCTCCGTACACTGTCATCAGATAACTCTAGAGTCATCTCAGGAGTTCTTAGCTGAGGTTCTTCAGTCTGAGCCTCCTGTTCTTGTATAGCTTCTTCGTCTTTCTGAGAAGCTGTATGTGTTGGTTCTGTATCATACAGAGTCTGCGTCTGTTCGATAGGTTGTTGTGGATGTTGTTCTTCATTATATTCCTCTCCTTCCTTTTCCAAGAGGTCTGGTAGTTCAATAACCTGAACTGTTTGTTGGAGTTGGTGTTCTACAACTGTAGCTTCGTACGATGGATCATACACCTTTGTCTCGTCAAAAGAGACATCTCTTGTTACTATTACTCTCTTTAGTTTTGGAATCCATATCCTAAATATGTTTGTAGAGTTATAGCCTATTAGGTAGCCGACTTGGGCACTCCTTTCTATTCTCTCAAACTTTGGTTGGTTTAAGAGTAGTGCGTACACTCTGCAGCCATAGGCTCAGATATGAGAGAGTAGCGGCTTTGTAAGCTGTGGCGTTTGAAGCTGTGTAGGTAGGGATGAAGTAGAAGTCCGTACGGAGTCTCATCGTTGATTGTAGCTGAAGGCGATCGGTTTATAAGGTAGCCTGCTGTCTTGAACATTTCAGGAGATATTCCTTGCGGTAGGTTTCCTGATTCCTTTAAAGCTCTTGCTCGGGTGATTATCGTATGGCCTGATCATTCAATTGCGCCGTTTGGTTCAGCTGCGTACGGAGGAGTAGCCTGGATTTTGTAGCCTTCTTTGCTACCCAGCAGTCCCATTCTCTTCCAAGGGACCTTTCACCATCTAGGAAGAAGACCTTGACCGAAGCTCCACCGCCTCCGTACATAGTTCACAAAGTCCTTAATCGTCTGTAGGACTGTTCCTTGTGTCTTATCTTTAATGGTATAGACGTGGTTCATGCAGCCGAAGTTACACTGTAGATGTAGGACCTGTTTGCTGCCATCGTATGCTTCTGGCATTTGGATAAGGTCAAGGTGCACCTTCTCATAAGGGATCTTTGACCGTGGTGTAGATCTTCGAGAGATCCGTTTTGTTGCATGGGTAAGCCAGCAGACCTCACAGTTTGTGTCGTACGAGTCCATGTCTGTGACAATAACCCCTTGTGTCTTCTCTTGGAGCTTCCTTATTGCGAAGCTATTAGCCTTATCGACGCAATCCCAAAGTGTGTCTTCTGATTCCTCGGAAGACCTTCAGCAAATGTACAATCGGCGACATGCCACGCATTGCTGATGGGATGGCTCAGATGAAAATTGCCTCAATTCTGCCTAAAGCATTGGCTGAAGTGTAACTGACGCTGAATGGAGAGGTGCTGACTTGTCCATACGTGGGTGGCTCGAAAGCTTCAGCGCCTAACCCAACCGACACTTTGGGCAACAACCTCAACATCAAACCCCTGCCCAACCGGCACGCAAGGTCGAGGTCACCCCGTACAAGGTCGAAGATGAGACATGCTGGACCTTTGAACTCGACGGACAAAAGATCAACCCTTGGGCGGATGACTGGGTAAACGAGGTGACTCAAAATAAAGTGCCCATAATGTACTATAAAAAGCATAACGTCTACTTTTACAAAGTAAGTAATAACCCCATACTTAGATGCACTCTCACTAAATCTTTTAGGGCCCCAAAAAATAACCAGTCTTGCATTTGAAATCAGCCCCGTCTCGAAGCCATGTTTTCTTCAAGTCGAATATTAGTCGATTAACCATGGATGTTTTGGTAGATTGATCTGGTCGCCAGAGGCATCTCTTGATGCCCATGCCAACACTCGAGATGTGGCTTCTCTGGAAGGATAAGATTCGATCGGCGGGAACTTGTTCATTGTTTCATTTGTGCTTTTTGTATTCGGCGTCTCTTGTGCTTGTGTTTTGTCAATCACATACATATAAAAACATCGCTTCTCATCTCCCAGAATCCAAACCCAACTGTGATACTCTCGGGCACGCCAGAGATCCAAGTACTGATGTAGCTCCGGTTCAATCTCGTTAATTGATGTACTTCCGAAAGGCTGCCAACCGTACAGCAACTCCTCCGCATTCGCAAGGTAACGATGGTTGAAACGAAGGCGGGTAAGATCACTATTAGATAGCATCCTCGTGCCGTTCTCTTCATAGCAGCCCAGTCCAACTTCATCTAAAAATGACTGCCTACAGCCAAGCCATGCAGCTGCAACAGAATCAGGTTGCGACGCGTGAGTAAATTCCGGTTGTTCTTCCAAAGTTGTAAGATAGGATTCAACCATGCCAACCCAGTCTAAAGATCCTAGCCAAAGAACGCCGATCCAGAACGGCGCCTGCCGAGGACGATATTGTATAAACATTTTGATAAGTAATTCCGTGTTTCCACATTCAAGCACGGGCCTAATCACATCATGGATTGAGGATAGCCAAGCTGCAATCAATGCCTGGTTCCCAGAAAACACTCCAAAGACTCGATCCTATCAACCTAGGGCTGATACTAATGGTCATGAGTTGAGATATCCGCCCCGAATATTGAAGGAATGGGTCGTGAGCATGCATTGGATGATTGCGCTGCAAAAGTATTGGAACAGGCAGGGTAGGCGTTAACTTCCTAAAATTGTAGAAAGGAAGCATAACTGTAGCAGAAACTGCAGCGTCGAGTTTGTCGTCAAGTCCAAACAACGCGCAAAGCTCGGAAATAAGGCCTGCCGCCATTTCCAAAGACAGTGATGTGGCCCATTCTGGAGGAGAATATGTCGGACTAGTAAGCATGTTGAAAGGGTTTACTCCGCCATAGACTAATGCCCACAGTGGACTAGGCTTGATCATCCAACGCGAATTGGGTGCGAGAAGGATACATAGCCAACACACAAGGTCCCGAGTTGCGTGACGTAAGTCAAGTTGAATTCTGTCATTCTCTGAGCAGCCTGCATGATGTGTTGAAGGTGCCTGAGAAGTAAACTTGACTTCCCGCTCCTGCATCTCGAGGAGTTTTGCACAGAAATAATAAGAGAGGCATTGTATAAGTATAGTGATGCCGTTGGAAGGAGAGGCAGGTGACGCATCGGAATTGGAATTTCATTCTTCTATGAGCCGGTACCTTGTCGGCTCTGGAATAGAGAGGTTGAATTTTTTCTCGTAGCCACGTGCATGATTCACGTTCCATCCATCAACTTCAGGAGGTGAGGTCGGCTGCGTCGAATCAGAGCCATCCAGGGTTGCTGGAGTGGTTTGGTTGGCAACATCATCCATTCCGTGGGTCATAGAGCTCTGCATATCATCTGGCTCGGGGTGTATAAACTCCCATATGGGGTAGCCCCTAATTGTCTCTAAGCCACAGAGCTGAGAAGGTAGGAGCGGAACACCCTGTGTCAACCCCAAAACACCTGGGCTTCTGGGTATGCTGAGAGTTTGTTGCCGTTTTGCAAGACCAAGGCACTCTCGCCATTGGGATTCACCTCTCCAAAAGGTCCTCTCAATATCCTCAGCGCTTGGAATCAGTGGATCATCCTGACATCTGTGTAGTAAATCATCAGCAGTTTGATCTTCAAAGAAGCCACTGCTGATACTGCTGTTCGGTGGGGTGCTTGTGCCTCCGTTGCTTTCGTTCTTATAAGATGAGGAATGGTTATTGGAAGGAATAAACGCTTCAAATCTGTTCTCTCGAGTCTCTATCCAGTAGGCAACGCGATCAAGACCAATGTTAGAGGTGGTTGGCATCTCAAGTCATTTATGACGGAATTCGCCTAGATAGTTAAAAGCTTCAAATGATGTCTTGCTTGACGAATGTACTCTCCATTGGTCGCAACATTAAGTAAATAAATGTGTAATGCCGAGAGAGTGATTTTATGGCAGGTGACCTTTATAGGACCGCTCATCTCATCATGTGATATAACGTCACGTGTGCCCAACTCATCTCTGTTGTAATAGTCACATGATCTCACATGATCTCCGTACAGATTATCGGTAAAGCCAAGTATAGGTTACATAGTCAGGAATACATACATTTATTACTCAACAGTTATGAGCCCGGAGCACATCGAGGTCCCATTTTAAACGTCTTCGAATAACGTACAGACCTGAAACCCCTCCTATGAGTCAATCACCATCATAATGGCGACCCTACAGAAGGTGGGGGTGGTCCTCACCAACCCAAAAGACTGGGATGAGTGGCTAGAGACAATTAAGACAGCTTCAATGAAGACAGGAGTGTGGGGTTATATTAATCCAGCATTAGCTGACCCCCCTATCCTCGTACCACCTGTTAGGCCAGTTCCTAACTTCATACGGACTGTAGCTCAGGCCGGTAGTGGTGTGGTCCCTCAGACTACTCCACGGGTGTCAACAAGAGCAACATCAAGTCAGACAGCCCAACCATCAATCGAAGCCTCTCAACCAATCATACCAATTACGTATGGATCTCTCACAGACGACCAGAAGGAAGAGCTTCGAAACCTACAAGCGGACTTCCAATATGATCGAAAAATATGGGAGAAACAGGAGGAAGCAATTCAGGGGCTATGGTCTAAGATCCAAGAAACTATTAGACGGGACTTCCTACCATACACATACAATTGTGATACTCCATATGAAATGCTAGTAAGGCTTAAGGAGCGGTTTGCACCAACTACACGAGCTAGGCTTGAGGAATGGAGGAGTGAGTGGGCAAAAGCATCCAAAATACAAAGAGGAGTAGACCTTGAAGAGTGGCTCCTAAAATGGGAGACCCTCTACACACAAGGCCGTACGCTCCGAGCACCAGAGGTTATCGACCCTCACGATGCGATATATTACTTCCTCAAAGCAATAGGACCCTGCGAATTTTGAGGCCCATGGACATTCAAACTCAACAAAGGGACAAAGGAATATAAGTTTGAGGAGGTCGTACGGACCTATCGAATCAACCAGAGACAGGCAAGATATGACCAGAAGTCTCAGGGGGAACATGGAGTTTTCGCAAGACAAGAAGGCAATAATGAGATATCTGCTACCCTTCAGAACCGTACCAACAACCTACAACAAGGACAATAGGGTTGGAATAACGGGAAGAAGAACAAGGATCCCTGAACAGATTGCCCTTGTGGCTCTATCCATAAGTGGAGGGACTTCTTATATGTCATGAAGTCGAAGCGTACGAAGTCATGGAAGCCAAACCGAGACATTGAAGCTAAAGTTGACGCCTACATAAGTGAAAAGCCAGGCTTTCAATACTGCATTCAAAGGGCAATAGACCAGGACAAGGCGAACGGAGGACAACCCCGTATGAACCAGGATCTACCTGTTTCCTTTGCAACAGCCTTCCAAGTCACTCAAGGTCTTACCCTCTCAACCTATGAGCTTGCAAGGAGCACAATCCTTGATTCTGGAGCTACAATTCATGTCTGTAACGACCGTACGAGGTTCTACAACCTAAAGGAATGTGAGGACGGAAACTACCTCTTAGCTGGAGACCAGAAAGTAAGGATTGAAGGGTTCGGGTCCGTGGACATCAAAGTCCAGGTTGGAAAGGACACAAAGTCCGTACGAACCATAACACTCCAAGAAACAGCCCTCGTTTCCTCATTCCACACCTCTGTTGCATCCTTAAACGATTCATCCAAAAGGGAGTCCATTGGAATACAGCTACAGAAGGACTCACGTACGAAGGAAAGCCGTTCTGCAACACTCCAGTTATCCATGGACAATGGGTCCTTAAATATATTAAGAATAACAATACAAAAGTCCTTCAAAAACACAGCCCTATCAACGACTAGGGCTGTGTTTGGTGGACCTCGCCGTCGCCCAGGACCCCATATTCCAGCCCTATCCCTGCCTCCTACCCCTCTGCGAATCCCGAGTTCTACACCCCAATCAAGAGGCCCAAATGAGAGCGCTATTGTCCGTGAATCCAAGCAATTGCTGCAAGTTCTGGCATTACGAATGAGGCCAATTCTGATATAGAAATTGGCCTAGTTCGGATGAGAAAATCATATACTCAGGAGCAAAAACTATGTGCAATTCAATACGCCACAACAATTATTGTGATTCGAAATGGAAAGGCTCAAATTATCAGTCGATACGAGGCGTCAGAAAAGCTTGGAATTACTCCAATAATGCTTAAGAAATGGATTGAAAGTAAGGAGACAATTGCTAGTCAAAATAAGGCTTCTAGGAGGGCAAAATTTAAAGTACAACTTGGCCAGGAACCTGAAATGGAAAAACACCTCGTTAAGTTATTTACATCTGCTTGTGCATCAGGATGAATGATAGGAGGGAGATGGTTCGAACGTCAAGCTAAGGCAATATAAAGAGATCTATACCCTCATCGAGTAATTCAACTTGATGGGAAGTTTCAATAACTTGGTTTCAAGTTCTCAAACGCATGGTTCCAAGGATTTCGACGCTGATTTGGCATTGCTAATTGAAGCAAGACAAAGCAGGCTCAGAAGGTACCTGATGCTTTTTGTGAGAAGGTTATCTCCTGGTTACAGTTCAATCGACGTCAGACTATTATTTGTGAAGATTTATTCACAGGGTTGCCAAAAGGGAAAGATGTTCCCCTTGTTGGTAGATTTAAACTCTCAGAGATATCTAACATGGATCAAACGCCAATTGCCTTTGAGTTTTTGTCAGGAAAGACATATGAATTTAAAGGTGCTAGGACTGTCTGGGTTAAGGAGGCAAGGAGTGGCTGGGATAAACGTCAAGCAACACTCCAAGTCTGTGTATTCGCTGATGGAATTGATCATTGTCACCCCCTATTAATATTCCACAGTGCAGAAGGTAAAGGGGACTCACGTCGAATCGCAAATCAAGGAAATACTCTCGTGGAGTCGATGTACTCTTCAACCCTACAGCCTGGGCAACAGAGCAGACAATGCTTTGGTGGATTTAACACTCATATTGCCTTGCCTCACTATACAGAACCCGTGATATTGAGCCGAAACTGCTAGCAATTGATGCTTTTCGTGCACATATGACAGCACCAGTTACAAGTGCTTTTCAGAAGCAAAAGACAACGATTTCAATAATTCCAGGAGGTTGTACTGGCTTTGTTCAAGTGCTTGATGTAGCGCTTAATCAACCTCTAAAGAGACTGATAAAAGAGGAAGCAGATGAGCATTATGATACAAATATCAAAGCATGGGAAGAGAACAAGTATTCAGTTGGGGATCGACGAGTTCTATTAACAGAATGGGTATCAAAAGCATGGAAAAAGCTTCATATACAATATAAAGAGACTATTGTCAGTACATTCAGGCAGCTTGGAATGTCCTTAAACCCTGATGGAAGTGAGGATTTGGAGCTAAAGATCAAGGCTCTTGATGGTATTCAAATTGGAGATTGGGAACGTCATGATAATTTCACAGAAAGAAGAGAATGAACAAGGGGCACAAGAAGCAGCAATTGAAGTTGCAGAGGCACTGATACAAGGTGATATTCATAAGAAGATCAGGCAGGAAGAAGACGAGGTGGAGATAAGTATCACTCGAGCATCTCTATGATCAGCAACACAGCCTTTCAAAAACCTCTATTTCCTTGAGAATGAGGCTAAGGAGTTCAACAGTGATGTAGTGGATGCTGGGGACAGCGATGATGAGGTATCTGAGCATTGGGACACTGATGAAGATGAGACAGATCATATGATATTATAGCTATAAGATAGTATCTTGTAGTGCAATATACTCTACTGCATGAAAATCGTACAAAAAAACCATATCTTATAACTCAATAGTATCTTATATTCAATTGATATCTTAATTTCCAATTAATGCGGTATATATGGCACCAAACCTTTAAAAAGGCACAGACAATTCAAAAGGATTCTGAAGAGCCACTACGCATATGATCTTTGCTACTTGCAAATCCATTTGACACTTTTCAACAAGTTATTAATAAGGAAAATCTACCCTATGCACGATCAATTGTCGAACGAGGCAAAGAATCACTCAAGTGTTGAAATTCCACAACCTATTGTACGGAAAACCATCTGCCTCAAGCCCTACTTGGATAATATCATTCCTTCGGTTCGATGGAAATTCTGCAAATGGGCACTATCCAAACTTGAAGCTGGATCAATTTTTATTTTCTCAGACGAATCATATATCAATTTCAGAGGGAATCCACATAAGAAATGACGGATAACAGTTCAACGGGGTCAAACAGCAGAGAGCATGGCAATTCAACAGAAGAAATCTTTATTTCAAGTTATGTTTTGGGGAGCAATGAGTTCAGAAACCTCTATCTTACGCCCTTCTCGTTCATGGATTCCTGAAGTATAGAAGAGAAACAGATACATGTGCAGAAACTACGAGAGATAAATGCATATTGGAAATCAAAAGCAGAGAATGAACTTGTTAGAGCAACAACAGTTGGAACTCTTGAGTACGGATATATGGAAATTATAAATGCAGATATTCAGAATGGCAAAAGCAAATGGAAAAAGGCACGAGTTGCTTTACAAGAGTTTGGAGATATAGAGACATGGAGTAGAGGACGGCAATCAGAAGGGCAAGAAGTTTCAAAGGGCGGGATTGATTGGTTTCTATATCGAGAGATGGTTCTTATTCCTCTTCTCTTCCCCTACTTTCGAAAAGTAAAGGCTTTACATCCTACAAAACAAGTATGGTTTGTGGATGATAACCTCATAATGCTGTCAAGTGCCGGATTCAGGTCGCCGAGCTCATGCTAGCTCTCTGCAAATGCCGTGAGGTTCCCCCACGATACCATCTTCATGTCGGCATTCCTCCACCAAGTATCTTTAAGGAAGAGTCCCCTGAGCTCGGACCCCTCGATCCCTTTTTCCCCCTTGATTGCAGAGAGAAGCAGTGCATATTCTGCATCAGGGACGAATCGAAGAACTACGAACAGAGGATGGGCAAATTTTGCCGCCCAGTGACGATGATGAATCACGTTGAAAACATTCACCTTAAAGGACGAGATCTGAAGGCTAAGATAGATTGTTGTCACCCAACGTGCAAGTCCAAAGGGCTTGTTCTCGAAAAGTTGGAGTATTTCAAAAGTCACGTAGAGTTGGTTCACAAGATCAGAATTTGAAAATAATGAAAGCTGTGCTTGAGCCGCCGAGGCTAGGCATGGCAGGGTCGTGGTTTAGCCACAGAATTCTATGGCGGTCAAAACATGATATAGAGTTAGAAGTGAAAAGGGGCATGGTGCATTTGTTTTGATCCGTTTCAGACTTGGCATTTGGCTCTCATATGCGAATAGACCTGGATCCCAAGACTTATTTGTCTCACGACATTTTTTAGGTAATTACTAGTGACAGAGACTAAGCATAGATATATTACAGAGTATGAAGTCTGTATTTGACTACAATAGCCATGAAACGGTACTTGTATTCAAGGTTCAGGCCGGTTTTGAAATCAGGCCTCCCAGCAAAACAAAGTGTGGACATAGCAAATCTGCCACGCCACCAAGGTGAAGGTAAAGCTATTGTATAAAAAAACATACAACAGTGGGTATTCGCTGGTGGTCACCCACCCAACTACTAATCCACCGATCTCAAGTTTATGTATGGCAGAGCGGACGGGATGCCCAGTTCTCTTGAGTCTATGGTCGTATGTGATAACTACTTCTTGCGTATTGGGAGATATTTGCTACAGTAAGAACTGTAATCTAATACTTATTCTCAATGGTCACCCTTCTTTCTAGTCCCCGTTCCGTCCTCATAAATGTGACAGGCCGCCTTGTCTTTCTCCCCTTCCACGAAAACACTGATAATCCAAGCTTTGTCCGCCTTTTTATATGAAGACTGCGTCGGGGTCGGTGGAGTTTTGTGTCCATCGCTTCTGTGTAACGGAAGTGGGAAGATTTTGGAGGAGGCTTAATTAGATTGACCTGCCTAAAGACAAATGATTGAAGCCTTTCAAAAGATCAAAAGCGAAGGAGGAAGTCCATGGAACCTCAACAATGGAATCGATTGCGATGAGTCAGTAGCTGCTCAATTTTGCGATGATTAACATGTGATCATACCCGTAGCATTTACCATCCCTGGCATGTGACTGGGCTTGACCCAAATGTGCTACGGAAGGGCAGCACACAGGTTGTAGCACTTCTCTTGCTCTAGAACGCCTCTCGTGCTAGCACAGTTAGGTCAGCATGCGAGCCGTGACAAAACACATGTGCCTACCCAGGAACGGCCCTACCCCATTTAGGCTGTGACAGACGTTGTGCTATCACCATGGCCGTTGTAGAACCTCCGTTGTACTCGTGCGGCCCAAAAGTTTCCACAGGGTCTGTGTGTAATAAGTGGGGCATGTAAGTACTTGGAGAAAATGCATGTACATACTCTACTCGTACTATTGATCTACCCACGAAAGTTGTTCCCCCCATTGACTGCAATACACCGCTCCAACTTGTCCTTAAACGAAGCACATAATTGTGTAGATTTCCCATCCATTTTTTTCCCCCATTCTTCCTCAAGAAATACCCGTGCATGAGCTCTCTCAAGCTTCCCTCCGTTTAATGGTGTATAGCCATCAACCTGATCCTTGAGATAATCAAAGGCATTTTCAATAGGGTGCAAATCGGGAGAGTTTGGAGGCCAAAATTTCACTCTATAGATTCCCTCCTTCTTCATATAATCTGTTACGATTATAGCTTACGGTTGTTACGGTTGTTACGGTTGTTACGGTTGTTACGGTTGTTACGGTTGTTACGGTTGTTACGGTTGTTACGGTTGTTACGGTTGTTACGGTTGTTACGGTTGTTACGGTTGTTACGGTTGTTACGGGTGCAGCCTTAGCCACCAAGGCTACAACCGCTAAGCGGACAACTGTATATTATGAGGAATAGCCTCACCTTTCTTTCTTCTTCTTCTTCTTCTCTCTTTAGATTCAATCTAGCTTATTATTCTCTGGACTGGCTTCTTGACCTCCATGACCATCGTAACAATACTGTAACGTGTTACTTGGAAAGCCTTTGTGTCTAATCCCCTGCCTCCTCTGTCAAGTCAACCTTACGCAAGAAACCTCTGGATTTCTATCATTTAGTCAGTGTTACAGCGTGATGGCACAGAAAATCGGGTCGTCGACTTCAGTAAAGAAGAATATCGTTCTGTGAATGTCTATTAGGTTGATATTGGGTGGTATGTCTGAAGCGGTTGGTCAACTCACTTTTTGGGGCGTTTATTGTGTCCTTTGTGATGAGACAATTTGACCTCCATGGTGAGCACATCACGCTCGCTATTGTCGGGACTGTGTACGACCAGTAGGCAGACATCCTCATAGCAGAGCGCATCGAAGAGTCTAGTGTCCCCTTCCACCCCGCCCATATCAACGTCACTTTCAAGATCATCATCATCGGAGCTGGGATTATCTCTTCGTTTCCTTTTTGCATCAACTAGCTCCGCAGGCAACCTGTGCCAAAGAGAAGGAGTAGTATCAATGCATACTGAACCCGATGTTGCTCTGTAGGGTATACAGATTTGTCATGGGCCCAGTGGCAGTTGAGTAAAAGCAGGAAGTCGTCCAGCCCTAAGACGGGCTTCGATTTCACTGTTCTGTCTAGCCTGAGCGTGTCTATGAACTTCTGATATTAGCAATTTTAGATTAAGTAGTGATGAACAGAAAGCAACATACCTTAAGGACCTCCTTTCTATTATTACTGTCCATGAGACGGCCATTCTCTTTGTTGTATAGCATACCAAACTGTGCTGTGTATTGTGACATCGAACCCCTCTTCTTCACCCGGTCTTCATTGTACATATGCTGGATGAATGATATCGTAGTCCCTCTAGAGCAGTCCCGAATCACAGAACGCCAGTCCCCCAAATGCTGATTATGACAGAACCTAATCGAGAGTTAGTACCGGTAGCCACTCCAACGTCTCGATTTGAGCGTATTGTTCACTTACCTTTTGAATTTGCTTCTAATACCCCCAAGATTGTCTACAGTGGCAGGAGCATATTTATTTTTAATAACAGTCTTTGGGTCATAATGCTTATCTTTGAGGCTTTGGTAGTATCCAGGTGGGCATTTGGTCTTTGGCTTCAGTTGACGACGTTTGACACGATTATCAAGGCATTGTAGTAGTTGCCGATCGATGCGTGCATTCCTTCCTAAAGCCATGATGATGACAAGCTTGTTCTGCCTTGAATGGGTGTGGTTTTAGCCACACCATCATCGTGGGGGGGGTGACAGGTGCAGAGGAGTAGAGTGCTGTGTTTGAAAGACGTGACGGTTTGCATGGGAGAGCTGGGGAATATATATAGACGGCAGGAGCAGAGCTCCAAATGCCAGGTGGGTGGCTGCCATGGTGGGCAGAGTCAGGGAGGGCCCCTTGATGACGGGGGTCATCATCTGTCCAGAGGTATGTATAATCGGAGACAGGACAATGGGTTTGGGTTTTGGAGTTCAGGTACAGTGCCTTCAGCTCGAAGATTATCCGGTGGCCGATCGCAAACGAAAGCAGGGCACGTCATGAAATCTTGGTGTTCGAGGCTGCGTAAAGCAGCAACCAACGCCAGCCGAAAACAGCAGCTCTGACACCACAATCTTGCATAATATTATAAACGTAGTTACAAGCTTAGAAGCAAAAAGTCATCCAAAGACTATATAGCTAGGGAATAGAGAGTAGGTGATAATTATCTAAGGTGTTAATTTGTACAGATAGGCACTCCTACTGTTCATCATTTTCAAGGCTAGAATCACCTCTCTACTTAGTATGAGGACTTAGGATTATTAGACGATTAGGTGATTACATTAAGTGAGAATACGTAGACTTTAAACTTAATTAGGTACAAGTGGATTTAACACTTTAATCAATATACTAACAATCATACAATTAGGACCTATTGCCTTCTTATTCTTAATGGACATAAGAGCCACCTCTTAGCTCAATTCTAACACTACTATATAGAACAGAAGATAATCACTCTCTATATGCTACCATACTCATCACATATACTTTACATTAGCTACTTTGCTCTACTAAAGCTTTCATACAGACATTAGATTAAAACCTATGTATAGCACCAGCTTAATCATATTACAAAGCTTAAGTTTATCTCTACATTTAAAGAAGCATTCAAAGCTACATTTATAGAACAGAACATTAAGAGCAGATTCCAAGCTCTAGGACTAGTTCTGTATGAGCTATAGAGTGTCTGTAGTGGTGGGTGCACTAGATGTGAGAATCTAGCCACCTAAAGAAGTAAGACAACACACTGTCTTAGGAAACAGAGTCAAAGGGTTGTAGATTAGACTACTCCAGCTGCAGGGCACTTTGGCTTTGCAAAAACTTATGAACTTCTAACAAGAAAGTTCTACTGGCCTAGTCTAAGGACTACTCTTCAAGACTATATATCTTCTTGCACTACTTGCAACTTGAACAAACCTACACGGCAAAAGCCCTATGGCCTCTTGCAGCCTCTACCTATACCAGAACGCCCATGGGACTCCATATCCATTGACTTTATAGTCAAGTTGCCTCCTTCTATCCCAAAAGGGGGTGCTACCCCTTATGACTCTATCCTTGTGGTGGTAGAAAGGCTCACAAAAATGGCACACTTTGAGCCTTGCAATGAGACTATCACAGCTTCTGAACTTGCGTGGCTATTCCTCAAGGTGGTCTTTAAATATCATGGAATTCCTGGACACTGGATCTCAGATAGGGGAGCAGTTTTCACTTCAAACTTTTTTAAGGAGTTCTCTAAACTCTTAAACATGGAACAACGCTTTTCTACAGCTTATCACCCTCAAACAGATGGCCAGACAGAGAGAGTCAACTCTGTACTTGAACAATATCTAAGAATTTATACAAACTATGCTCAAGACAACTGGGCAGATCTTCTCCATCTTGCAGAATTTGCTTACAACAACACGGTCTCTAACACCACAAAAGAGACACCTTTCTATGCAAACTATGGTTATCACCCTAGGTTTGAAGTGGCAGAACTTAATTGTCCTGAAAATCTCAAAAACCCTTCTGCTACTGAAAGAATCATCTACCTTAAGGGCCTCCAGGACTATCTCAAGGTCCAAATACAGCGTGCACAAGACGAGCAGGCTCAGGCCTTTAACAGGGGGGTTGTTGCACCACAATTCAAAGTTGGTGATCAAGTCTTTTTGTCTAGAAGACATATCACAACTACTAGACCATCAGACAAACTTGATACTAAAAGACTTGGACCCTTTAAGATCACAAGCACTATTGGCAAGAATGCTTTCGAGCTTGCATTACCACCTACTTGGACTATCCATAATGTCTTCCATGCATCTCTCTTGTCTAAGGCACAAGAAAGTTCCTTAAGACCACTTCAGTCTCCTCCACCTCCTGTTCTGATTTTGGATCAACCAAAATATGAAGTAGAGTCTATCCTTGACAAAAAGACACTTAGAGGTCAGGGCTACTTCCTCGTTAAGTGGAAAGGCTATCCTACAAGTGACAACACTTGGGAACCTAAGAGAAATCTAAAAAATGCATCCAAGCTGATTCTAGAATTTCTTTCTAAGAAAGCCACCTGGATAAAGGGCAAGCACACAGCTAACAAACGTCCTTAAGAGGGGTATCATGTTATACTGACATTCGTTGCACTCAGTTTGCTATGAAACTCAAGAGCAAACTTGGAAATCTCCTCCTCAAACCTATCATACTGACATTCGTTGCACTCAGTTTGCTATCAAACTCAAGAGCAAACTTAGAAATCTCCTCCTCATACCTACAAGTCAACATACATATCTTGGCTACGGCATATCATTTGGACACTCATTGAACAAGTTATTAAGAAAATCTCCTCCTTAAGGGGGTGGGCCAATACTACCACATGGCATATCTCTACCAACTAGAGGCCTAGGAACATGAACGATAGCTCTAGAAGCTTCTACAACCCTCTATGATTCATTACACGTCATCGCTCCTTAGTTACTGGGCCGATATTACCACATAGCATATCTCTACAACCCTCTATGATTCATTACATGACATCACTCATACTACCACATAACATATCTCTACCAACTAGAGGCCTAGGAGCATGAACGATAGCTCTAAAAGCTCCTACGAACCTTTATGATTCATTACATGTCATCGCTCTTTAGTTACCCACAAGATTGGTTAAGTTATGACATAATTTGTCTGTGACATAATTTGTCTATGACATAATTTGTCTATAGGGGTACTCTGACCTTGGACCTCCTTTTACTTCCTATAGGCTACGAACCTAAGAGATGGTTCTATGGGATTCTCTTACGTCGACTACAGTTACCAAGCCTGGTAAGTCATGGAAAGTCTTGGAAAATGAGAGAACTACATTCCTTTAGCATAAATAGGATTGCCCTTTCCTTAAGAAAGGGCAAGCAGACAATACAGTAAATCGACTATCACATACTTCCACGTCTTTTGCAAGCTTCCAAGCATTGATCTTGTTACTCCTTGTTACTCCTTGTTTCTGAAAAGTCAGTGAGGTGCTAACCTCTGACTTATCCCTGAGTTCCCAGACTCAACATTTGTTGCAACTTGTCTGAACCACTTCACTACATCACACACCTGATTGCTGCATTGTGGAATAGTCTAAGCTACAACCCTTTGGCTCTGTTTTCTAAGACAGTGTGTTGTCTTAGTAAATTCATCCCTTCCTTGGGTGGCTAGATTCTCACATCTGGTGCACCCACCATTACATTTGGCCTAACAAATGCACTAGCATCCATGTAGAGGCTCATGAATGAAGCTCTCCATGAATACTTGGATGTGTTTGTTATCGTCTACCTAGACAATATCTTAGTCTACTCAGGAGACCCAACGGAACACATTGGTCATGTTCGGAAGGTATTACAGAAGTTAAAGGAGCATCGGTTACTCCTCAAGCCAGAAAAATGCAAATTCCACAAGGATCAAGTAGAATCCTTAGGCTACATTGTCGGAATGCATGGCATCAAAATGGACCAAGCAAAGGTCATGGCACTGTTGAAATGGCCAACACCAACTATGGTTAAAGAAGTACAAGCCTTCTTAGGCTTCGCCAACTTCTACCGGAGGTTTATTATATGATATTCCAAGGTAGCTCAACCACTTACAGATTTACAAGGAAAGATCTTACGTTCGAATGGACAAGCAAGGCAGAGGCTGCTTTTTAGGAACTTAAGACGAAGTTCACAGAAGCACCTATCCTAGTCACATTTGACCCTGCAATGAGGATTGTCCTTGAAATGGACTCCCCTGACTTCGCGATTAGAGCCTGTCTAAGTCAAAGCCAGACAAAGACAAGAAGCTTAAGCCAGTTGCATATTACTCTAGAAAACTGTTACCTGCAGAGCTTAACTATGACATCCACAACAAGGAGCTGATAGCTATTGTCGTTGCTTTTGAGCAATGGCTAGTATATCTTGAAGGATCGACCTACCTGGTACAGGTATGGACAGATCATAAGAACCTTATATACTTCACCACAACCAAGGTGTTAAACCGCAGATAAGTACGATGGGCAGAGACACTCGTAGCCTACAACTTCACGATTACATATTGCAAGGACTCTGAGAACGAAAGAGCTGATGCTCTTAGCAGAAGGACCGACTACATCGGCCCTAAAGAGGAAAGACCTAGAGCCATATTGAAGAAGACAGACGCAAGAATGCAATACAACGAGTTGCTAGCCACGATTGCCACTGTGGAAAACTCGGAGTTATAAGAGAGACTTAAGAAAGCTTATGTAACAGACGAATGTGCAAAGCGAGTCTTGATAAAAACTGAAGGCGATGTAATGGTAGGTGCACTATATGTGAAAATCTAGCCACCTAAGGAAGTAAGACAACACACTGTCTTAGGAAACAGAGCCAAAGGGTTGTAGCTTAGACTATTCCACAATGCAGCAATCAAGTGTATGATGTAGTGAAGTGGTTTAGACAAGTTGTGGCAAATGTTGAGTCTGAGAACTCAGGGGTAAGTCAGAGGTTAGCACCTCACTGACTTTTCAGAAACAAGGAATAACAAGATCAATGCTTGGAAGCTTGGAAAAGATGTAGAAGTATGTGATAGTCAATTTTCTGTATTGCCTGCTTGCCCTTTCTTAAGGAAAGGGCAATCCTCTTTGTGCTAAAGGAGTGTAGTTCTCTCATTTTCCATGACTTTCCAT